CAACCACATATTCTTCAATAAAATAATATTTTATATCACATCAATACTTTTTTCTTCTTTTTCAACCACACATTTCCCATCATATCACTATTCAAAAATCAATTCTTCCCCCAAAAATCCTTACCAAACACACTCATAGATGTTATGATGTGCCTTATGCTGTAACATGCTTACCCAATATTTTTCACATTTATTGAACTACAGTTTTTTATTTGAATCGATACATATGCATTAGTTTGTTGTATGTACTCGAATAAAAAATGGATGATGCAGAACCTGATATATATATAATATTTTATATCATCGGGGGATACTACAGTGGGGGTGGATGCATGGAAGAATGAATTCCATGTAAAAATGAACAAGCATTTTTTTACACAAGTGTTTTGTAAATATGTAAATGTTACAAATGATTCATATGTAATTTCAAGAAAATGGAAGAATGGTAGATAACTGAAATTAACAAGAACATGAACAAAATTTGGAAATTCACATCTAATAATATAAATAGGATAAGTGGGAACATGCACATATCCATAAAATGACTCAAACGACAACTGATAATTTTTTATTTCTACGTTAAAATGGGAAAAAGATCTATGTTATCACAACCAGAGTTTGTGATAACATACCGATGCAACATACGGATAAATTAGAAAATTTTCAAGTTTTCATTACATTTCTTTCTAAAATAATTCAATTTTACAACACAAAATGTGCAACAACGATGTGATTAATGATCTTTATATCACCTGTTGTGATTAATCTCATAAGCTTTACACCATCCTGGTATAAGACTTTTATTCGCATATCTTCAATTGGTAGAAACAAGACTAGCATAGTAACGTATCTCCAAATTTCAACTTGTGTTGGCTACTTCACTTCCACAATAAGCATTTAATGGATGAATTGATATTGGAGACGTATGTCGCTAATGTGCACATAATGACCAAAGCATGACACCCTAATATAAGTCCTTTTACCGGGCATTTAGCTTGGGATTTAGATTTGAGATTACGTCATATCTATAAAACACATTCATACTTCCACTGAATTTGTTGCAGGTGTGAATGTGGAATTCCCATTCTTGTGCACAAACATTCGAAGAAATATTGAGAGACGTGGTGCAAACTTTTTAAATGAAAAAACATGTAATATAAAAGAAACATGCTGTGTACAGAAGAAAAACATACAAACAACCTACAGAATACACACAATATGCGGGTCCCCTTTTTTTTTAACAATATTTAATTCACATGGGGCACACCCCATGTGAGTGTCTGTAATCTTTCTATATAAAACTTTTCTGTACAAACAGAATTTTCCAATATGAAAACGTATATGTGTACTACATCAAGTACAGATTGTCATATATAGGTGGTGATATATTAACATTGTTACTAGTGGCATAGTTTTTTTGTGAAAGAATATACAAGTCTTGGTGGCGTGTATGTATCTTCAAACAAGTATGCATAAATATTACATTTCCTTTTTACAAGATTTTTCTGGGAACATGACCTATCCAATTGGTATTATTTTTTGGAGTGAAGTTTTTTTTTTTATAAATCATTTTTATTGGAATAAAAAATGATGGCAAGTAATTTTGAAATATTTATTTGAAAGCATGTAGTTCATGTAATTTCCACTTAATTCTGTATGAACCTGCATGGAAGCCCATGCTTTGACGGTCATTTTGGGCCTCTAAAGACCCAAACTCAAATACTAACTTGGACTATTTAGGGTGGTCCTTTGGTACAACTACAACTATTGTAACTGGAACTCTTAGCAATAAAGTTTTTGGTAATATTGCTTTCGACGGTAGAACCTATTCTCCAACACATCAATCTATCAGATTTCCTCCGTAAGGAAGTCATGTATCAAGATTATTTTTAAATTGATCTCTCGGAGGTTGGAGTTTTGTTAATTGGAAAGAATGATCGAGGGCAGCATTTTTTTACTCTTTGATTCTGCATCACGTGCTTGTGGTTTTATGGTGTCTTCTCGTCGTTGTTTACACTGAAATGCGAA